TATAAATATTTCTTAACTGATTGAGAATTATAAATTTTTATGTGCATAAATTTTCCTTAAATAGCCCAGCAGAAAAAAGTGCTTTTGTGTTTAATTACTTAATACATATATATATTGGTTTAATGTTGTTGCTGTATATATAGAAAACTTAATAAAATAGTAAAAACAATATATATTATAGTTTTTGTGAAAGAAACTAGATATATGTAGGGAAAATAAACATATATACAAAACTATTTTATGATGTGTCAAGCTTTAGGTCTTATTAAGTAGTGTATTGAAAGTAGTGCGTGTTAAATATATATGGAATTGTCAGTTTTGCGGACCTACGTTTAAAAGAAGTTGTTTTTACACTACTATACTTCCAACTATGCCAGAAATTTATAGAGGTGCTCTGTTATGAGACTTGAATAATATATATATGTTATATGTTATATATATATGTTATATATATGTTATATATACAAGATTTTTATTTAAAAAATTAGTATTTAATAGGTACATGGTTAAAATGGTAAATTATTCAAAATTAATATTAAATTAAACTAAGGAATATTTGAGTAGTCGAAAATATTTAATAATAAAATAATACGAAATAAAGTTTAAAATTACTAAGTACCCGTTACTGAAACTTTTTGATTTAAATGTAATTATGATATTTAGCTATGATTTTACATTTTAATCTTTTGTTAAAAGAACCACTAAAATATAGAAATTAATATTAACATTTCAGTATAAATGAAAAGAGATTTTTCATATGTTTAGAAATACACGAAAAATTTAGTATATATGGTATACCATATTTATGTCTTATAAGCATGTGCTTTTTTTTCTGCAGGGGCATTTTATATGATGGTCCAGTTGCGATTTCTGTACGTTTCATATTTTTTTTACAAACTGTATAAAAAAGTTTTATTATATATACCTAAGTCTTATTATATATATTGTATAATAAAGTGTTTCTTACAATTGTAAACTAAATAAAATTATATATAGTTTTAATGGCTTTTATTTTATTGGTTGATATGAGTACTTGTGTCTCTCTTTCTGAGTAAGAAATTTGCAAAATTGCAAGCGATGTAATGTTTTAATTCATAGAATATACAAGAGAGCACAATGTAGTGTTTTAATTCATAGAATATACTAGAGAGCCTAATGTCACCAGAAGCTTATATGAATCAATAAATGCAACGTAACAGAGCTTTTTAGGTATAGTCTTTGCTAAGATCGCAATTAATGTAATGTGGTATTACAAATTATAGTTTTTCTGACCGTGTAAGCAAACTCCCTTTATAGAAACTCCAGTTTATAGAACTTCTAATCATTAAATATTATTTTCTCAGCATTTAATTTCTATTTGTTTAATTAGGTAGAACTATTAACAATTGGTAAAGTCAAGTATAGTACATTTAAAACTATTACATATCATATGGGATTACGTTATAAGAATATATTAAATTGTCAAAATTGTCTATAAAAAAGTACTTTTTATTAGCCACTGCCAGAGCACTTAAATATTTTTTAATTTCTATGAAGAGTGTATTGTCTGATATTTGTTTGTAATATATATATAATAATAATTGTTTGTAATAATTGTTTGTAATAATATATGAATTAGGCTACCAGGCTATGCATTGGCCCATGGGTCCTTAGCGATAGCAATTCGAGTTAGAATAAACATAATAGCCCATAGCTATTGTGTTTAGTAGATCGATTGGTCTTATTTCTTAGTGTTATTGTTGTGTTATATTCTATTATGTGTTCTTTGTGCTCTTATACTATACCTTATAATATCTCTTATACTATAAAAATTTATTAATATTCAAAGAAATATTCAAAGAAAGATTCTTAGAAATATTTTAATAGGAATAGGTTATGATCAGTTTAAAGAATGCTGGGCTTAAAGGTTTAATATCTTGCAGCATTGATGGATGCATAATATACTACACAAAAAAATACAAATACTCTTATTGCATATATCTCATGGATATACTAAAATTAAGGACTTCTTAAGTGATGCTTTATTTAATTTATTAAAGAAAATGGTTGTGGGGATTAAACGGGCAGATTTTATTTGAATTTCTGCTCTTGCAATATTAATCAATTAAAAAGAGTTTGTTTCAACTTTAAAATTACAAAAATTTGATATAGCTGAAAATGAAATTTATTTTTAAAAATAATTAAAAAATAAAATAAAAATTAATGGTTTTTATATATATTTTAATCTGGTTATAGGTCCCTTTTTGTTAATTCAAAAATTTTTTTTTTTATAATCCATTTATTTTATTACAATCTGTCCGGTATGAATGACAATAATATATATTTAACATTTAATATTAATATTAGTAGACTTAATTACCACATGAAAATTATAGGTGTGGTAGATAGTGACTCCTGTCGACTCTATCATGAAGAGAAGGAAACATCAGGACATGTTCTATGCAACTGCCCAGCGGTGGCAAGACGTAGACTCGATTACCTTGGAAGCGGAATATTGGTCTCAAGTCAAATAGGTAAAATTAAGCCCACAGCAATTACAAGATTTATAAATAGTCTAAAATTGTCCTAGTTGGGCCTTTAGGCGCACAATAGATCTTTTAGGTCGGGGTGCTTTAATAGCGTATTACTTAAATATAAATAATATTTTTATATGGAGTATAATATAGAGTATAATAAAAAATATTAAACGTTGAATTGTTTAACGAAAAGGGTCAGATAAAAAAATATATAAAAACATGAATAAAAATAAGGTATCTTTAAAAAGTAAATAAAACTAATTTATTTGTAAAGTAGGAAAATAAATTATTATAGCATCGATAGTACCATAAAGTCACACATTTTTAAATATTACCCAGCATATGTAGTGCCATTCTAAATTGTATTTATATCTATTATAAAGTAAACCTATTTACTCAACTCACGTCAACGATTAGTGTCATACTTGTCTCTAATATATGCATTAAAATAATTAAAAAAATGTAAAGTACTAGCTATAGCTTCAAAAAATATGTAGGATTGGTTTCTCATAGAAGGGTAGTTAAAGTGCCAGTTAACAGTACCAAGAAAAGGCGAAGTAAGAAAATGATTTTAAACTTTGTCTCTACAAATTTTTTCGATGTTAAAATTGACATACTGAATTTGAGACTCAGACCCCACTGTCCACATTTAATTAGCATTTGGTCATTTATTTTAGATGCTATAAAACTGATTAACATATGTTAATTTAATTGTGTCTCTTTCTCTCAGATTACTTCTTTCTAATTTCCACCAATTTTCTGACGACTGCGCAATGGCTTTGTTTACTCCAAATGTCAAATGTTATTACTCGTCGGACCGTTACTGTCGCCTTTCCTAAAGGGATTGTTTACAAATGTTTAAACCTTAATTACTTTTCTGAGGTGAATTGTCATGTTAAAAAATGTTGAGTAAATAGATTATCGAAACACATTTAACGTTTTCGTTATGTATTTATAATGTAAAAATAATTTTTTAATACATAAAAAATACTTAAAACAACAATTGTTTACGATTTAAACTAGCACCGGCTTAATACCAATACATTGACACACGTTTTGACAGATGTCAGTTTCCTATAATTTTTAAATTGCATAAGTGTTAGTGATAAAAGCTTTTGGGTTAAGCTTAATAAGCTTTTAGAAAATTATAGCAAGAAACTGTCATTTGAAAATTTCGCAATTTTCATCATTCAGTACGAGTTTTTCCGATAATTCATGTCGTAGTAGAAGTGAAAATTCAAAAAAAGACAATTACAGTTAGAGAAAAAATTTAATTAATTTATTTATGAACAAATAATGAAATAAACGCTTTTTAGTTGTTACAAAAGAGAGACGTAAGTTTTTTATAAAAAGAATTTTGCATCGTTTGTAATTTTGGTGTTGAAATTAAGAACAAAAAAAAAAAAAATGCAAGAAGAAAATTTCGATTTTTACCAATTTTCTGCATTTCCTTTTCTAAGCATTTTATTTTGTTCTCCTAAAAGAGTTCTTATTTTTCACCTTTAAAATTTTAAAGTAATTTTTCGTTATTTGAATTTTTATTGAATGCATTTAGTTTAAATTTTCCTTACTGTTAATTTTGCAATGGTGAGTGGTGTAAAAATCGATTTTTCAAAAGTAAGAAAAAGCATATTTCCCGTGTATGTGCTCTATTGTGTGTATTTTCGACAACTTTTGCCTACATTTTTTTCTCTATTCATTGCGGTGCTTTAGCAGCAGTAATTGTCAGCGCAACTTTGTGGTGGTGGTGGCAATTGAAACCCACCATTGCAACGTGTGGTTTTTATGAAATTTATGGCAAAAGCAATTAAAATAAAAGTGATTTTCATTGTGTGTGGTGAATTATTAAGAGAATTTAATTTTTATTTATAAATTGTATACATGTAACATATTTATACTAATATGCAAAAGGAAGAAGGCATAAAATTAATTTACAAATATTGAAAAGCTATATATTTTTAAAGGACAAACAAAAAGGTCGACTTTGTGGTGAGTCATAAAAATTTATACCCCGAACTTCCTACAATTGGTTTCAATGATTTCAAAAAATTCCAACTAATCATCATTTAAAATTGATTGTAAATATGTTTACAAAATCGTTATTAGAATGTACATATATATTAGATTATGTAATATTACTTGTAAGCTTCCTTTTTTGAGATTATTTCCGTATCGAACTCTTATCACGCATGTATGGTGAAAATAATCGAAGTTTAAGGTTAGTGTGAGTTCAAGGATTTCTATTTTAAGAAATCTATTACTTCCAATATATATACTATATTTTTAAATTATTTTCTTATCTACTAATTTATTTCGTTACATTGCCCTGTTTGCATGCATTTTATTCCTTTCTACTAAAAGTTTAAAATATAATATTTTTACATATTTGTTAGACCGATTTCGATGTCTCCGCAATTAGAGAATGCTTAAGTTACCAAAAGGTTTAAAGAAGAAAAAGAAGAAGTCAAAAAAAGATAAAGAACTCTTCACTGAAGAGGAACTCGAACAATATAAACGTGACCTTAAAGCAAAGCAAGAAGCTGCTGCTGCTAAATCAGACGCTGGTGAATCAGACGCAGCATCAGACGTTGAAGGTTTAGCGTCAACAGCATCTGTTTCAGTCGCTGGTGGTAGCAGTTTTAGTGTTGCTACTACTCAAGCAGCTGAAAGCACCGCTGACGGTGCTGATACCGCTACAACTGTCAAAAAATCGGAAGAAGACGAAGAGTGGGCAAAATTTAAGGCACTAACTTCTGGTGTTGATACTATACTTCATAAAACACAAGACGAGCTTGATCGCATAAAAAAAGAATCCTTCTACCAGCGTTTACCTTCTGCAGCTGAAAAGAAACGACTTGAAGAAGAGGAAGCCGCTAAGCGGGAAGCAGAGCGCTTAGAAGAAGAACGTCGTAAGGCGGCAGAGCTTGAGGCTCAGCGTGATAAGCTTGCAGAGGCTGTAGTTGAATTATCAGAATCAGAACCTGAAGACGAGGAAGTACTTGATGATATCTTTGCAACAGATTATATTGAAGCTATAACAAGTGGTGAAGTTCAACTAGCCGTTGTTCCTGAATCACCAGTACTTGAAATCGACGAGGGTCCTGATCCGTTCGATACTGCTTACGCTGAGAAAGTAATTGTTGGCGCAGATAAAACTAAGGGTAATAAAAAGCTTGTCAGCTTAGGTGCGGCTGTTGAGGTACTCTCTGGCCGTGTTGATCGTGAGCACGCGTTAGCTTTATCCAAACCTAAACGCAAACAACGTAAAGGCATACAGAATCTTTTGTTAAGTGAAAGTGTTGATTTTGGCGACACTGAAGCTGATATTGTAGCGGTTGAACCACAAAAGAACTTACTTGATGAGCTTGTTGATGATGTGCCTGAAACTGATGCCCCAATCGACTTAAGTGTTTCTTTACATTTAAATTTTGCTCCACCAAAAAAGGTAGAGAACGAAGAAAACGACGAAGAAGTAAATACTAATTTTGATTTATCAGAGTTTGATACTTTAAAAGATGATGAAGATGACGAGTTTGCTGAATTAGCAGCAGAGTCATTGATAAAAAAAGAAGAAGTCAAAGTTATAACAGAAATCCCACTTCCACAGGCAGAAGTTTTAAGTGAAACTTTTGAATCTGATTGGGCAGAGTTTGAAAAGACACCCGAAGAAAACACAACAGAAGTAGGAAAAGGTAAACAATTAAGTCAAAAGAAATTATTTTTTATTTATAATTTTTATACTCTACAGATAAACCAAGTCGACCACCACCACCAGTACGGCCAGCAAGCGGTCCACATATTGTACCAGGTGCTATATACGTTAGCGATAACGAAGACGACAATTTAGACGACGATCCATTTAACACTGCGTACGCAGAACAAGTTATTAAAAAGACTACCCTTTTAGAAGAAGACGACGACTTCGACCCTCGTGCTGAAGAAAAGACCGGTCCACCTGCAAAACCGCCTCCACCATCTGCAAGTTTACTCTCACAACCTACACGTGATTTGTTAGGGGGCAGCGCTACTGACTTATCGAAAGTAGGTCCAAGGCCCATTGCACCAACTCAAGAAGTAGTTGAGAACGACATTGAAAACTTCGATCCCTTTGATACTTCTGCAATTTCTGCTCTAGTACAGCCAAAAGCAACAGAACTAAAATTTATTGAAAAGGAACTCTTAACAGAAAATAACCTTAAACATTCCCTTAGTGATCCTGATTTTGATCCGCGTGCAGAAGAATCCACACAAGCAACTGCATCAGTAATACAGATACAACCACCGCAGGCTGATTTCGATACTGCACGTCGTAAGTCTTCCTTGAGTTTAAATATACAATCTAAAAGTGTTGCATTTTTAGTTCCTGATCAAGATTTGCTTTCCATAGCTAATGACGGCTCAGGAAACAAAAAACCATTAACACCGTACTACGCACCAACTGCTACTACGATTCCCGAAAAAGAATCAGAAGATCCTTTTGATACATCTTACGTACCAGAAACAAAGCCAACAGAGATTGAACTCAAGCACCTAGAAAAAGATTTATTAACAAAGTCGACACTAAAACATAGTATTTCAGATCCAGATTTTGATCCAAGAGCACCACCAACACCTGTTTCAGCAGAGGAGTTACTGGCAGTTAAAGAAAACATAAATATTAAAGTATTAACACCGGCTCAAGAAAGTAAAGACTTAGCTGACGAGGAACTTGTTATTGATCCATTTGATACATCAATTGCCTCAAATCTTCAACCAGGAAAAGCTGAGCTGAAACTATTAGAAAGTGAACTTCTGCCAAGTTCTGAATTAGAAGTGACTACTGGAGTACTCGATTTGCAAACAGACGCTCAGGAACTAGGCTTGGGTGATAAAGTATTAACACCATCTGTACCAGTAAAGCAATTAACATTACCAGAAGATATTGATCCTTTTGATACTTCAATTGCTGAAAATCTTGCACCAGGAGAAACAGAAATAAAATTGTTAGAAAGTGAACTTATTGAACGTTAGAAATAAACGAGTTTAAAAAAAACCAACAGTTTTCAAATAATATTTCAAAATGGCAAACCCATTTTTAATGGATGATGATTTAGGTGGTTCCGATGGTGGTGATGCTGCTGTAAATCCATTTTTATTACAAGGTGATGGCAATGAAGAAGAAGCATTTGACAATCCTTTTGCAGGGCAGATATCCAATCCATTTGCATTCGGTGATGAAACGGAAACAGCTCCTCCTACAGATATTGACCCAGCTATGAGTTTCTTTGGTACAACTATAGAAGCAGAAGATGACACACTTAGTATTAAATCTACAGTTGAAGAAGACGATGAACATGTGAAGAAAGGGCCGCCACCAAGACCAGTTCCACCACAAACACAGGAGCTCATAAATACGGTTTCAAATCAAATGGAAGAAGCAAGTTCAGAATTACTTGGACGCATACCAGCTACGAGATCTCCAAGTCCTGTATCAATGAGAGACTTACATTCTCCAAGTCCAACACCAGATTCGGGATTGGCTGACTTACTTGACGTATCGGATAGCGGATCCTCAGCAAATACACAAGGATTTGATGTAGACCTAATCGGCAGTATGAACAGCAACGATAACCCATTCGGAATTCCTACAGGCATACCAACTATACAAGGCGCAACTCCAATGCCTTCACCAGCTAAGCAGCAACCACCAAGACCTCCTCCACCAAGACCTGCACCTCCACGACCGGCGCCACCAGGTGTTATGAATAATCCACCTCAACGGCCACCACCACCAAGCCAAATTACAAACGAACCAGCTGATTCCGAAGACTTATTTGATATGTTTGGCACATCTAAGCCGCCAAAACCTCCACCACCTAAGAGTAAGGAAGATATTTTAAGTTTATTTGAAAAGCCAACAGAACCAGTTGCGAAACCGGATTTACTTAGTGATGATATTGTACTTGAGCCTGAAGCAGTCCAGCCAGAAGCAGATGTCGACAAAAAAGTAGATCCTGTTTTTAGTTCAACTCTTACAAGACCTGATGAAAGTACACATGATATTTCATCTCAACCACAAGCAGCACAATCTTATCAAAACTCTAGAAATACTATCGCACCTCAAGAAACTACGAATAGGCAACGCGCTCCCACACCAGATATTGAGATAACAACAGTAGAAGATTTACCGAGATCAGATGATGAGGATGAACCCGAGGTTACAGTTCAACCTGTACCAGATGTTGTAATTGACACGGAACCAAGTCCACCACCAGAAGATGATGATGATGCATCAATGGAACCCATTGTTGGTTCAGCGGTGGAGTCAGATCAAAGTCCACCAACTGAATCTAATGTTACAACACAAGCAACAGCAGAGTTTCCTGTTAAGGCAACTACAGATCAAGCGTATGAAGTAGAACAAATGGATACTGGCTTTGATTTTGCACCAACAACTGTGATTGCAAGTGGTACTGGTTCAGCAAACCCATTTGCAAGTCCTGATGATGAGGAAGAAACGTATCCACCTGCTACAGCAGTTACAAATATTTTCGACAGTGAAGACAAGGGAACAGTGGTCGACTCTTCTATAGCATCGGCAACAATAAATATTTTTGCAACAGACGCAGAACCTATAGTTACCACACAAGTACATGCGACTAATATATTTGCAGCGGAACCAGATGAATTCGATGCTTTTTCGGCGAAGTTTGATTCTGTTAAAAAGGATAATATCAGCATATTAGATGGCTTTGGTGGTTCGGGTGCAGTTACACCTACCACAGCTGATGGTAAGTCGCTTAAATTAAAATTATGAATTATTAACAAAATTATATTTTCTTTCAGCTTGGGGCGATAGTGCCTTCGGTACACCCAATTCAGGTGTTAATGCTTTTGGAGATGGTGCAGTTGATGGTTTTGGAAATGAGGATGATGAATTCTATACTATGCAAGCACCTGTTCGACAAGATTCCGTTGAATCAGTAGATAAAGAATTTAATGTTGTCATAAGACCTAAAGCAGATGGCGCACAAGTTGTTGCACCACACTTGGTACCGCCACCACCGCCAGCCCGAACAGTCACTGGTCAGTATTCCAGTGATACATCGCCTGCTGCAAATCCATTTGAAGATACTGGTTTCCCAGCTCCTCCTCAAACTACTGATACTACTATAAAGCGCACAGACTCTCAAGATACACCACAAACTCCATTATTCGATGAGGATGTATCTCAACCACTAGAAGAATTTCCACGTTTGCATTACATTGGCCCTGGTTGGGAAATGCAACTACGTCAACCAAACAAAAAGAAAATCACAGGACAACGATTTTGGAAAAAGATTTTTGTTCGACTGGTGATACAAAATGATGTGCCTGTGGTGCAACTACTTAACCAAGCTTCCGATAAACAGGCTTTCCAAGAGTTACCTTTACAGCCATCGTACTCAGTGTCTGAAATTGGTGCACAGCAATATGATCAGTTTGGCAAAATTTTTACAATGAAATTGCAATATATATTTTATAAGGAACGCCCGGGAGTGCGGCCTGGTCAAGTGACTAAAGCAGAACGTATTACAAATAAGTTGACTAAATTTGCACAATATGCGATAGCTGGAGATTACGAAGGTGTTAAAGAGTTTGGCAGCGATTTAAAGAAACTCGGCTTACCTGTAGAACACGCACCACAATCGTCTCAGTTGTTTAAAATTGGATCGATGACTTACGAAGATATGAAACAGTTCTCTGTGTGTATAGAGGAGGCACTTTTTAAATTAACAGCTTTAAGGGAACGAGCTTTGACCTACAAAATGGAAGAAGTGCAAGTAACTGCTGTAGACGAAATCGTTGTTGATCAGGACCATGAAGGAAAAATTCTAAAACAAATTGCTCGAGTGCGTTTATTCTTTTTAGCATTTTTAACAGGTGTGACTAGATTTATGATGCAAATTAAAATAGTTTTATTATTAAAATATATTTTATATCTCTCATAGGTATGCCAACAATCGAACTGGGTGTAAATGATATGTGGCGTCAGGGTAAGGAGGTAGTTGGGCGCCACGATATTATTCCCGTGGCAACTGAAGAATGGATACGTCTGGAGGCTGTGGAATTCCATAGTGTTGTTAATCAGGAAGAATATGAAAGAACACGAACCATTAAGTATGTTGCACCTATCGTTGCTTCTTTTAAATAACTTACCTGTAAATATTTTTAATAGATTCCAGCCACCAGATGCCAATTATATAGAACTGCTGCGTTTCCGCGTTCGTCCGCCTAAAAATCGTGAACTTCCATTACAGCTCAAGGCAACTTGGTGTGTTACCGGTAATAAGGTTGAACTGCGTGCAGATATATTAGTGCCAGGATTTACTTCGCGTAAATTGGGGCAAATCCCTTGTGAAGATGTCTCCGTTCGTTTTCCTATACCCGAATGTTGGATATACTTGTTTCGCGTGGAAAAGCATTTTAGGTAAACACATTATATCTTAATTAGTGAACTCGAGGAAAATGAAAATATATTATTAATTAATTAATATTAACAAAAATATAATACATATATAATTAAAAAATGTTTATATTAAATAATTAATTAATTAAAATTATATTAAATTAATGAAAATTTTTGACAGACTTCAAAATCAAAGTAAGAAGAAATCAGTTTCTGGTCTCTACAAAGTATAAGAGTTATATTTTTCTATATGTTCAAATTTTTTACCTTTTACATTTAAGCATATATATAGATATAATATAATCATTTGATATTTAAATATTGATTATTATTTAATCAATTTATGAAGTTAATAACTTTTCAACGAAGTATGCATTAATTAATTTCCTTAATAACAGGTACGGTTCTGTAAAATCAGCGCATAGACGTACTGGCAAGATTAAGGGTATCGAGCGAATTTTGGGTGCAGTAGACACATTGCAAGAATCATTGATTGAGGTCACATCTGGTCAGGCTAAATATGAACATCATCATAGAGCAATTGTTTGGCGCTGCTCACGTTTACCAAAGGAAGGACAAGGTTATTTAATCTTATAGAATAGTTATATTTTTACTATTTCTTCAAAGTACATATTTTTTCTTAGGTGCTTATACTACACATCAACTGGTCTGTCGTATGGCTCTGACTTCTTATGATCAAATACCGAGTGAATTGGCCCCGTATGCATTTGTAGAGTTCACAATGCCAGCAACTCAAGTCTCACACACAACTGTACGTTCAGTGAGTGTTCAGGACTCGGATGCTGATGAGCCTCCTGAAAAATATGTGCGCTATTTGGCAAGACACGAATACAAGTAAGTTATAGTTCTCATTAAAACACAGATTGATATTTTTTTAAACATTACATATAAATTTTTAAAGAGTTGGAATTGAAACGACACATGGAGAGAGCGTGAATGCTTATTTGGCAGCTACAGCCAAGTCAATACGTGAGGAAGCGCCTGCTAAGGCAGCACCTTCACCATTACCACCCAGTGATTCTGATTCGGACTCAAATTAAATTTGCTGAATTTATATGCATTAAAAAAGTTGGAGATATTTTATTTCAGCAAATTTTTATAGTTTAAAGTGAGTAAGAAAATTATTTATAGGCAATAACTATTAAGAATGATATATATTCAAAGTATTTTGTTGATTATAAATGAGGGCTATACGTATTATACAAGAGAACAAAAAACATAATTAAGTTCCAGAAATTTACATAGATTACTCAATGATATTTAAGCATATAAAATTAATATTTAGTAACAAAATCATACATATTAGCGATCAGATGTTAAATTCACCGACATTTTTTGTGCTTAAGTTCTATGTTATTAACATCGAAGCAATAATCCATGTTATTAGCATAACTATGGTATACTCATATGTTAAGAATGAAGTACATATTTAACTTTGGTATAAGTAAGAAATCAAAGCGAAATGATGAATATAAGTAGTTGTTTGATCTATAATTATTTAATTAAATTTCGCTAGTACTTAAATAATTAGTTGACAATAAAATTAATTGTTCAAAATTAAAAATATCAAGCAGCAAATATA